ATGATTAGTTTTGTACTGTTTCCTTTTTTTTTTCACAGTCATCTCCTATTCAGTTTCGTTAACCTTCTCTGCTAATTTTTTTTCTATTTTCTTAACCATTAGTAATAAATATGGACTATTTTTCTTCTTTCTAAAAGTGAATTTTCAATGGGATGTCTGCAATGTTTCTTTAAACTTCCAGCACAACAGGAGACGGAATGGGGAGGGATTGCTCCTAGAATAGCCGTGGTCTAATCAGGAGGAGTATCAAATGCCATATATGGTGCCTCACAAGCTCCTAAGGTGGTCCTGATCAAATAACACGTGACATTTTGATTTATTCTGAGCATTTCTTTCCCATTATCACGAATTACGAGTTTATATGGTTATAGATGAGGAAAAGGTGCAGCTTTTTGTGTTGTTCAGACCCTTAGCGTGAACCATGCTTTTCACTCCGTTAAGCACTGCGGAGGTATATCGAATGGATATGTGACCTGAGCATCGTTATGGTGCATTTAATGGATACTAGACTCACACAAGAAGTTTCGGTGGCTTATCGATGTGTCAACCAGGTAATTTAACTTCACAGACAGATTTGTTATTAATTTACACACTTTATGGTGATGAAGAGCGCATGTGGCGCAGTGGTTAGAGGTGCTCTGCGTCGCACACGAGGTCAATGGTTCGATCTCGCGCTCATGGCTCACCAAGCCATCCATCCTTCCGGGGTCGGTAAATTGGTACCAGACAGGTCTCAGACTTGTCTGGGAGGATAAGCAGCACTGACTCGGTTCAGCGAGAGGCCACCGCGAGTCATTGTAAAGGCCTCAAACGGCGTTAAAAATTGAACTCGAATGCATGGCGCATCCCTCAGGGATTGATCAACGCCGAAAGCTTTGTCCTTTTTTTATGGTGATGAAAAGATAGCGAGCTTGAAATACAAGAAGGGGAAATCCAGCGCTTGTTTGGAATGTTGAGTACTTCAAAGGCATGTAATTTTGGTTCTCTCTGACTAGGGAGGAATAAAGGAAAAACCTGTCTCATTCGCTGGAGAAGAATTCTTCGTAGTAATGTTAGTAGCCATTCGTAAGCTGAGACTTAAGACTACAGGCCCACGTCTCCAGTTCTTCAAAACACCCTTTATACTGCTTTAGCATCCAGATCAAAAATTTCGTTTCACAGTCGTCTTTCGCCTTCATTTTTATCACGTTTATAATTCGCTGGAAGCTGAAAGCATATAAATGCGTAGAGAAACTTTCGTAGTATCTCAATCAATCGTTTTATCTGAGTTTCTTCCAGAGTGGAGGAAAAATTCCCGATTCTATAGAAATATATCGATCAATTCAAAAGTTCGACTTTCTATAAATCTCGGCAATGTTAACTGATATATGAAAATGCAAAAAACTTGTCTTGATTAGCTAACGCGCGGTTGGTAAAGTAGTCGTTGTAATTCGGCTGACATTTCAGCGACCCGCCTTTTTCAGAGCCTGGACGTAGGTATTATTAGACTATTTGAATGATTCGGAGGATCTTATATATATATATATATATATATATACATATATATACATATATATATGAGCGCATGTGGCGCAGTGGTTAGAGGTGCCCTGCGTCGCACACGAGGTCAATGGTTCGATCTCGCGCTCATGGCTCACCAAGCCATCCATCCTTCCGGGGTCGGTAAATTGGTACCAGACAGGTCTCAGACTTGTCTGGGAGGATAAGCAGCACTGACTCGGTTCAGCGGGAGGCCTCCGAGAGTCAATGTAAAGGCCAGATGTGCATTCAATCTCCTCAAACGAAGTTAAAAATGGAAGTCGAATGCATGGCGCATTCCTCAGGATTGATCAACGCCGCAAGCTTTATCTATTTTTATCCTTTGTGATTATATATATATATATATATATATATATATATATATGTATATATACTGCCTAGGTCAGGTTGAAAAACCGAACGAAGAAAGGGCGCGAGATCTTGTGTGATGGCGACGCATTCGTCCTTTCGGTTCATTTCGGGGTTTTTGGCGTTTATCCAAAATGTCTCAAGAGTTTTGCGCGTTGATGTTTTTCATTCCTGCTCTAGATCGTGAGAGTCACATCAAAAAAGATATATATATATATCTGTGTATATCAAAAATACATCGATGGTATCACTTCGCCCCACCTCTGCCCCGCCCCTGCCATAGCTCTCGTCTTATCGGATAGCCGGTAAACAACGTTGCCAAAAAGGTAATACTCAATCTTAGTTTCACCCATTTCCAGAAAATTAGCACATGGCTAGAATTAGCAAGTATTACGATATCGAATGATAACTAATAGTCTAAAGAAAGAGCTATGCCCAGAGAGGTTCAAAGCACAATTCAAAAGACTAGAAAATATCAAGAGATCAAAAGACCCTACCGAAAAGTAAACACGTTTTGAGTTTTTTGAGCTGGTGCTATCGTTTGAGCACTAGCACTCTAAGGGAGGAGCTTTGTCCAGCGAAATATAAGCGAGATAAGAGAAAAAACGCATACTATAGCATTATAAATAGTGTTCTGAAAAACCAGCAACGTGGGATTCTAGCCTCAAGTATCAGCTTTCGGATAGGTACTAACACTCCTGTGGGAAATTACTCTCCAGCGAATGAGAACGGTTAATCATTTGCTCCCTCTTAATTAGAATGAACCGTTTTTTTCTGGAACCATCTTCAAACCATGCGTTATATTGCGGTAAGATGGCGCTCAAACTGCGCATGCAACGATGAAAGTATATCTTTTTGATATGGCTGGTTTGTGTACGAAGTCTGATTTGGTGAACTATTTTTCAGACGGTCACTCCTGCATGTAAACACTTGCAAACTACAATATGGTGACACAGCTTCTTCAATAGATTGGCTAGGCTAATCGCACTCTATTGAATGTCCAGCGAACGCTTGACATGAAGAGACTTCAGCGCATTTGGTGCAAAAAAAAATAGCTGTCTTTGCTCCTCAGCTTTTATCACAGCTGATGTTGAGCTCACCAGATCATTTCCTTCAGCAGCATGTGTTCTCATTCTATCGGGATTCAGTTTTATGACTTATTGGACCTTCGATTGGTGTTTTTTCTCCTTTTTTGACGTGGCTCAAATTTCAAAACCGAAAGCAATTAAACACATGGAATTTCATCCTGCAAGATGTCATTATTCTTTCAGTCTGTTGCTGTTTATGTGATCGTGCTTGTGTTTTACCAACCAATAGTTTGAACTTCCTAATTTACTTTCCGTTTATTTCCATCTCAAACGGATTCGAAATTAGATTTATATCTAACAAAAAAGGCTATATTAGCCTTCAGGGTGATGTGGCACAGCCTCCTTTGACACCGAGGAACTTTAATCATAATAATGCTGAGATACCAGGAAAGCTTGGAACCTCATGTTTTGTTTCATGAGCTCCAACCGTCGGAGTATATTTCCTGAGGTTTATGCTATTATGCTTCCTAATAATTTCAAGAAGAATGTTCAAAGCTAAGCGAGGTTAGTACACCAGGGCTATACACTCGTGTTTCTTAGGTATCGCCCTCCTCGTTAGTGACCCACGGCCCACATTAAGCCCTGCATTGTTGCAAGGAGGGAGGCGTATGTGGTGACGGCCAGTGTACAACGACACTGGCTATTACCACTTCTCAGGTGGTCGATCTCGGCTGGTGGAACAAAATTGTTTCACAACATCTACTGTTTTCAAAACCTCGCAATAAACATTCAAAAGAATTTCAAAAAGAATGTTTAAAGCCTAAGCGAAGTTGGTACACGAGGTCCATGCACGCGTCTTTGCTTCTTATATCAATCCCATTGACGAGTGATTGCTGGCAGGTATCTTAAGTTGAATCACGGCTGTGAGAAATCCAGGGTCTCCTCGAAGGAATAGTGTCAGCCTACTACCCCGGGACGGTATAATGGAAGTCCATGACACAAAAGTGATGCATGCCATTCGCGTGCATCTCAGCATTCAAATAATTATACTTCACGTCGCTCTCTACTATTAGAATATGAATAGACAGAAAGGGAAGTTAAAAATTCACATAAAGTTTTCATCTCCTGCACTGCTCTAATAATTGGTGGATCATTGTCTGTTATCGAAAAACGAGCTTCGTCGTAATTGCTTTATGATAGGAGGTTATGTTTTTCTATTTGTGTCGTTGTTAGTTATTCTGAAGGGCATTTTAGTTGATTGAAGACTCTAGCAGAACTCTGAACTTATGGAGAACACAAAATAGACATGATGCTTTCTCCACGTGCGAGCTTTCAGTTCGAAATAATCCAGTGCACACAGATGTAATGTCAGCGTGAAGACAGCTTCAAACTTGACCCATTACGTAATGCGTATGCATCATAGTGTATGTGAATACGGTTCTTAAAGCTCCTTAACCTTCTGCGCACCACCGTTGACAGACAGGTGACGTCGCGCCGTCGCAACGCGGCACTTGCCGCAATCGATCTTGCGATTGGAACACGTAATCTTCCTCATTGTTGTAATTTCGTAATGTTCCATACTTTTGTAGTCACTTAAAAGAGATTTTGTCATCAGTTAAAAAAAATATAAAACAAACAGTTTTCAATAGGACTATTTAATTAAAACACGTCTACTGTGGACAATATTTCGATCATTGGATTCCTTAGTAGTGGTCAGGACTTCTATGAAGGTCAAACAAACTTTATTCTAGGGCGATCTTTTACTATAAGTACGTTTTCATGAGTCCCTTTAGTAATACTTTATTTTTTGCAGCGACAATATTTACTTAGCATTAAAATATCACTATATAATACCGAAAATTCCGCCGTGGAGTTGAAAAATGGACTGCAATTGCAAAACGTTGCCTTTCATTGGTTAGTAAAACGTGGTATGGAGGTTGAACCAGCAACTAAGCTTAGTATCAAATTTGGCATTTCTTAAGCGATCGAACGATTACAGAAACAGGATAATAAATGAAACAAATGTGAACTGCACTATCGGTGCCTGTTTTGCCATCACTCTTTCTACACTATAACTCAAAATAGGCGTCGATCGTGCAATTGGTTAGTACGCGCCCTCAGAAAGGGTGAAATGTGGGTTCAATTCCCGTTTGACGTCGGCGTTTCGCACATCACTCAACATCATTGCTTATATTTGTAGCATTATATCACAGTAAAATAAGCGATTGAATAAAAAAATTTTTCCTACATAACACTTGGAAATATATTCGCTTGTGGAAAGATGTGATTCCTAATGATGAAAACTAGGAGATTTTTCAACACATGGGTGTTCTTTATGGTAAAAAGGGTTTGAAAACCTTTACAAGAGTCTCTTTTGTGATATTCTATCATTCGATAGTGGCCACCAATGCCCTCTCAAAACCTAAATTTACTGGATAATTACTCACACTTCCACTTGTGAGTGCCCGTAGAATATCCTAATTAGTTAAACTATCTTTTGAGCCACTTAAGCTTATCTAAAGCTTTCTGCGACTTCCTGAAGCAAGCACTGAACGGTCATCTGAAGAAGCCAGTTCGTCGCGTCGAAGCTGATCGTTGAATTCTAAATCGAAACTTACTCAAATGCACTCTGTAAACGGAGAAGAAGTTATGTGGCTATATAATTGTTGACACCACCCATGTCAATAACGTTAGGTAGTTTGTTTCTCGGTACTCTGAATAATGACATGAATAAATGATCACATTGCGAGACAATTAGTGATGTTCATGGATTGCTGCAGCTGAAGATGGGTTATTAAATTGAAAAAACCGGAATAAAGAAGACTTAGACACAGCCTTTGAAATCTTCTCACCCGCACAGAGAAGATATTGACTGAGATACGTACTTATCCTGATGGTCTCCTGTATCCAGTGATTGGGCGCGCGATGCAAGACGCAAGTGGTCTTTGATTAGATCTCACATTTTGGACAAACCAAGCTCGCTATCTTTTGTATAACTTGGTTCTAAACCAAGCTAGACCGGTTGGAACATTTAGATGATGCATCGGTGGACTATCACAAGCTATGACGCTACAAGCTATGGAGTGGGCAGTAGTATGTCTCTTTCTGTGGGATCGATCAATGCGGACCATTTTATTCCTTGTCATTTTACTTCTCTAGATGAAAAAGTTCTCTGTTCATAAGATTCCATACATTTCTTATGTTATCTGTACTTAAAATTATGATGGGTCTGCCCTACTCTTCGAATTATCTCGTAAATTACTGTTCTGAGAAACTTGAAACTTTTATGAGAAAAGAAAATCTGTTCGCATCACTAATTCTGCTGATTGTAAGTTCTATTTCTAAGACATACCTCTTATCTAGTATTTTGCTTAGTGCGATCTTCATTTTGGTGCGATGAATGTGTAATATTTATCGGTTATCGAAAGTCAATTTTCATACAACATTCGTTCGCGAAGCTATTCTGTAGGTTTGTTGACAATCCTCTAGGAAGATTCAAAATTTACAGAACATTCAACGACAAAGGAACAACACATTGATCGTTATTCACAGTTGGTGATAGCAGGCGTTCAGATAGTTCGTCAACGAGGTTTGAATGTCGTTGATTCGGACAAGATGCGTCAACACCTCCACCATCTTCTTGATTTCGCATATCTGCTGTGATTGTGAACCGCTGAAACAACAAGTCATTCGTCTCTCGACCACTTTACTTTTCCAAGTATTTCCAACAGATGACACTGTTATCACAGACATAAAGAACACTTCCACCTGTTTCACTCCGGAAAAGATTTGAACAGTGAGCACGATTGAAATCTGATTTTTATCAGTTGCAGTATGACTATTTCAATCACTTCAATAAGTATGAAGAAACCTATAAAAAACAGATTTTCTGACTTAGAATATTCCTCGGTCGTCGACGAGAAAGTTAGCTATTCTGGAGGCTTCTAACGAGAGTTGAGTAGATATTTCCGCCTTTCCGCTTCTTGCATAACTTCTATTTACTGCTCACACAACAATTTTTTTTATTAACACTGAAACGATAATGCTCAGCCACTCATGTACTTCACTGTTTTTAGAAGAGGCTCTTCTAGATTATCCGATTTCCAATTAGTAGCAATGAAGATTTCCACAACTTTTTTTACAACGGAGCTTGAACCTCTCATTTGCTACCGCTATTGCAATGAATGTTGCCCTGCTTGCTGATGCCGTGATTCTAAAATTCTTTGAAAATTTGAAAAAAGCCAATTAACTCAATAATACATACTATGTAATCGGTTGTATACATAGCCAACTTTTTTAGACATGATTTGACATTGAAACTACAAAATCACTTACAGTTTTGCTTGAAAAGAGCGGATTTGGGGTCACATCTACTAAAAATTCATATTTGTCAGATTTTAACAAAAACTGTTTTGTCATTTGACAGATATTTATCTCTATTTGGAATGGATTCGCGCTCGAATTTTCAGTAAGTATGTGGAAAGCGAATTAACTAGAATTTTGTGCAATAATATAGCACCGATCGTTAAGCCATTTTGCTCCATTCTATGTGGACCCCCTCCTCTTATATTTCCATTCCTTTGGGGACAACGAATAGGTAACAGTAAAGGATTGCAAAGGCTTCCTTTGATCTAGTCGACGACTTTCAAAGTTGGCAGCCTGAAAAGACTCTGCAGGTGTCCCAATGCCTTTCAGAAACATACCCGAAAGAGGCAACGTTCTAAAGTGTCAGCCAAACTCATGCACAAATCTAAAGACTTTCGTGGATGGGAATACGAGATAGCGTAAAGGATGGATGATTCAGTAGGATCCGTGTAATATCTTATGCTGGCTCATATGAGGGAAGCAATAAATCAATGACTAGTGTGGTAGTTTTTATTACAGAGCACTCGGTTTGACTTGTCTAATTTAAGGGTGACAACTTAACGCTAAATCGAGAAGCGAACTGAGGCGATCGTGAATAGCGAGGATAGGCTGGCTTATATTGGCGAAATATCGAAGTACTTCGATGAAGATGTATACCGCGAGAACGGTGTGTTCCTCTTATTCCATTGCTCGGTGAATGTCATCTGTGTGAGAGCGCAAGTGCAGAGAACAGCGAAGAGGACGGTGCTCAGTACGAATCGCATTATGCTCTAAAATATCATTGTTAATTAGGATATTCATACAGTACCAGTTCATAAGCGAACGAGATGCATAAAAGAACGTGTATTGCGAAGTTATTGAAAAGGTGTAAGAGATCCTAACGATCGCTTATAAGTTTATTTTCTTCAAAATTTCTGAAAATTGTCCACAACATAGCAAATGTCTTAACAACAATAACATAGAAGCACAAATGAGCGTATCGGACAACAATGATTAGGTGTTCTTTAATGGGTACTGACAGGAAATGAGCTCGAGAAATTTTGAAAAAAGATCAAGAATGCCAAAAAAGCCAAAAAGAATTCAACTAGGCTCCTACTATGCAGTTAGTGTTTTACGACTCTGGCAGAAAAAAAAGCATAATAAATCACTTCGTTCAATGTTTCACTGTCTGCCTGAGATGAAAAGTATTATGATATAAAACGAGTAAGTTCAATTAGTGGCGAGATTTGTCTAATTCATTAAGTAAGAGCAAATGTTGCTCAGATTCCAGGGTGTCCCATGAACACGCGTCTAATCTTCAAATTTCGATTCCGAGCTCCTTATTCATCCAGACTCGGCGGAGGACTGAGTGGAAAGATTGAAGCATTGAGTTGATGACAAAGGTAGACACTCCGAAACTCATCACATAGACCAAATATCCAATAGATCACATCAAAGATGCTATGAATTGAGCTGAATCTATGGCACGTCCCTATGTGATTGGTGTACGCTGATTACTTTATCCTACACTCACCTTTATGTTTACCGAATATGTTTGCTGAAATGGAATACTTTTTTCCATTCAATAGATTGAAGGAGAATCATCTTTAACGTCGTGAGAAAGATAATTAGAACATGTCTTTCAGAAAGCACAGTCAGTATAACAAGATAAAAGATAAATGAAAATGAGCAATTGTGGCATTGCACTTATCTTCTGAAAATTCAGTGGAAGCATTGTATTGAAAATTAGCGAAAAGAAATAAAAACATAACAAGTATAACGAACATTTTTCTGCAGGAAATTGAATAGTTGAGTTGTTTTAATGTATTTTATTATCATTATGAGAAACCTCAGTCTTTTTAATAACAAAATTAATTGTGGTGCTCCGATGTATTCAATTTTCCTCATGGGAGGCCATCACGTGTGCACTGCAAAGTACCTTACTATGAAAGAAATGTAAGATAGGAATCGCGCAAAAGTCGCATATTTTTCTATGAGTATTGAACTAGTTTTAGTCACTATAGTTCCACAATGAGTGGAACACATGGCACCTAGTGAGAAGCCTTACGTATGAAGGCCACAATAGATGAACAATAGAAATTTAGGCGTCTGATATCATGTTTCAAGTTTTTCAAAAACTACGGAATGACAACTTGGTGGTGTACGCACGTTTCGGCGTACTCGCACGCTCATCAGTACCTTTGCCCTCTCCTCACCCCGGCTGCTATGAGCGATTAAGGCCGAAGAAGTATCACTTTACGTCAAGTGAAACGACCACTTAATATTATGTCTTAGAGGACTGGCTGTCAATTTTATGGCTTACCGCTGCTACAGGTCACGTGTAATAATACCTTCCAATAGCCTACTTTGAGATCTAGCCTAGGAAGTCAGTTTGGTTAGATGTTTTAGTCGTTTAACTCTACCAGTTCTGTTCTGACTTCTTAAATAAACAAGTGTGTCAGTTGAAGTCCTGTTTGTTCCAGTCATGTGCAATGGTTACTCACCATGCTTTGCTCATTTCGTGGAGGACTAGAATCGTTGCCATATGTTTAGTAGTTTTGCAGTTGCATGCCTGAAATGTTAAAGAACCCCGTGGCCGGTAGTGCTAGTCCAACTGTTTTCAGTACCTCTTATAATGTTGCTGACTTTGATTTCTAATGTCTTGTGTGTGCAGAAAACCCACACCCTTAATAGTTGAGGTGGGTCCAAACTAGCAGGTTCAATATCATTACTCGGTACTCAGACATTTGACAGGGATAAATGAATACTCGACCTCACTCGCTGGACAGGAATTCTTTATAGCAGTTTAGTAAT